ATCATTACTGCATTCACATACAAGTCTTTATGATCGAAGGATTCACTGTAACAGAAAAAAATTACAAATTTTTACCATGACACATGGAAACAACGCCATTGTAATTCTGAATTCGCCATTACTCTAAATATGAAATAAAAAATAAATAAGAAGTATAAATAATAAATTAAAAAAGTGTAAGTACAAAGAAAAATAAAATGACAAAGATGAAAGCAGTAAAACTGATAAGATTTTAAAGCTAAAGATATGTGTATACTACGAACTCAATACAATTATTTCAATACTTTAAGACTAAACTTCTACAACAGTTCAGATAAAGACAAAAGAGAATGCACATGTGAGATTTCCCAAAAAAGCATGGAAGAGATGTAAGAGGAATCACGTAGCAAAATCAATTTTACGTAACTGCATGCATTCACTTAAGAATGTGGTTAATAAAAAATAACGAATCGTAAATATACGCACATACATACGAATAATATTGCTATTATTTGTAAACATGTTGGAATCTAACATACTTTAAATTGCCTGGCAGCGATTGTCAAACCAAAGGTGGTTATAAATATGTAAGTCGAAACATTGTATAGCAAAAATCACTAACTGCAATATTTCAATTGTCTAGTTTGTATAAAAAGATTAGTTGGAGGATGGAGCCATGTGTAGAAGTTCACGCAACTGAGGAAAGTTCAATGATCGCCATTCACTTGGGAGTGGTCGTAAACTATTATTTTACATATGTCTCAGCTCACGACTTCCGGTCCTTGACCAAGTATCCTCTGGGTAGCTTAAGAACATCCATTTGAATTCTCCTACAGAACCCAAGGAAGTGATATAGTAACCAGTGAAAGTATAACGCCACTAGAAGGCGAACCCGATACCACAATCGATGACGATGGAGCAAACGTTCCATTGCCCGAAAATAATAGAAGTTCGAATAGCAATCATCCGTCTGAAGAACAGCAAAGTGGCGGGGGAAGAWGGATTGCCGGCTGAGCTATTCTAACACGGCGGCGAAGGACTGATAAGGAGCATGCAACAGCTTCTTTGTAAAATATGGTTGGACGAAAGCATGCTCAACCATTGGGATTTAACTGAGCTTTGCTCAA